AGCAGCTACCAGCGCACGTCAGACTTCTCTCTTCTCCAACGACGTCAGCAGCCACCGGCGTACGTCAGATTTCTCTCTTCTCGAAGTTTCCAGTTTCCAGCTAGTGTCCAAGCTTCCTCTTGCTTCAGCCAGAGTTCAGCTTGAGGGGGGATGTTAGACAATAATATTAAGTATTCCTAGTTATGGTAGAAGTTCTATTTTAGTTAGTCTCTATTCTCTATTCCTAGTTGTATTAGGAGTCTCTTCTATATATACTCTATCATGTATCCTATAATTCAAAGGAGCAATATTATTATTCTAATATTTCAACAAGAAATTATATACTCTCTCCGTCCCAAAAAGTTTGTTACGTTTAGAAAAAACTGCGTCCCGTAAAGTCCGTTACATTTCTATTAAAAAACCACTTTTACCCATTACTTTTCCATACCCTACCTATCACATCATACCTTTTTCCTAATAATCTACTTATCAGATTCTACTTTAGTACTTTTACCCATCACATCAAGGGTATTTTTGGAAAGTCAATACCAAAATATCCCTCTCTTAATTTCCCAAAAAGTCAAACCGTCCCATTCTTTTTGGGACGGAAGGAGTATTTTAGAAAAAAATAGAAATTATATAGAGAAAGCATACAAAAGACATATTATTTGATCCACTTCTCACAATATAAAGCATTACATATTAATGTTGAAGATAATTACAAAATACTACTACCTCGTCCCACTGTCTTTGTCCACATTTGACTTTTGGAACTGTTCATCTAAGTACTTTGACTCATCAAATTCTCTCAATGTGTAAGCCTAAAAATAGTCATGTGTGATCTTGTTTGATTCGTCTTAACATATAGATTATTAATATATAATTTCTATAATTTTTTAATATACAAATTACAAGATAAAATGGATTAAAGAAGTGCATTGGATGGTGTGTCAAACGGTAAGTGGACAAAGACAGTGGGACGGAGGGAGTATACTAATAAGAAAGTAAGGATTCTACCATGCTTCTTTATAAATTACATTCTTTGTGATATTCGAAAATACTTCATACCTAATCTTTTTACTGGCACCACTTTTCAATGACACATTACACTCATATTCTCTGTAATAAAAGAGAATAAAAACTAAATGTTACACAACACATTATATTTACATTAGAGATATTAAAGTGGTTGCACAAATTTACTGCTCTACAAAATAAGGAGTATATTTCAATGAGACCATGCTATAGAAAAGACTGCGATAAACAAAGTATATTGTATATCATTCATAGATACAACCAATTTTTAGGGGATCCAATTTTTTCCCATTTGTACATTTCAAAATAACTCACAGAACATATTAAAGGAATATTTTTCTCACAAAATAAACTACAATGTAAATCAATTATAAAAGATAAACTTATTAGAGTTTCTTACAAAATAAACTATGGTCAAGTTTTGAAAGAGTGTTTCAATTATTATTAGTGTTTTGGATAAAATTTTAACAATGTAAATTAACTTCGAAAATGTTAACGCAATAAGCTATTATTAGATACTTTTCAAAACGCTAGCCTCTAGTGCTTATGCCAAATGAGACCTAATTCACAAAACATATTCATGATTTGTTCTATCCATCATCCGCATTTAAAATACACTTTCTCTGTCTAAAAAAAGTCACGAAACTATTATTTATTTGTGTATGAATAATTATTTGATAAAATAAAATCTTTTTGTCACCTAATATTTTGTAGAACTTTTGACACAGTTCTAAAATGTGTAAGTTTAATTTTAATTTTTTATCAACTATTAAATAAAATGAATATTAAAGAAATTGAAATTTTTGTTTCGTTTTACATAAAATGTACTGAAAAACATTCTAGGACAAACTGTATTATTTCCTTATTAGTGTCCCCTAAATTTTTTACGGAGTACATTATTTTGCACTATTCTTTTCATTTATTGTTTGGCAATTTTTGTGTGTAAGTGTCAATCTTCTTCCCCACCACAACCACCACATTTCTCTCACAATTATCATCACTCTCTGGAATCTTCTTCCTCTTCCAGTAGATCTACCCCTTTTTATCTTCACTTTCATTTTTTTCTTTCTTCAGACCTTACGCCCCTCCGTCGCCCCTCCGCTGAACTCATGTTTTCATTGCCAAGTCATCGCCAAATCTACTATTTTGCTGCCGTCAAGTTATCTCTTCCATTGCCATCAAAACCTTAGGTTCGCTCTTCTGAGTTCCAACACCGTCAAGATCTCGGATCTACTCCTCTATCTTCGTCAAAACGTCATACTTTTTTTTCTCCACCCCAAAATATTAGATCTTCTTAATACCTACAGTGTTGTCATCTTACAAAGCTCTGATGGTGGGCAGATCTAAGACAAATCGAAAGCGATGGAGGGTTACTGAGGGTTAGAAAAGTTGGCGGCAGTGGGTATTTTGGGGTAATCAACCACATTATCATTTGTGTTCCGCTTCCGTTGTCTGGTCTATGGAAATCAGATGAACTTATGTGAGATTTTCAATTCTATTTGAACTTTTTTTATACTCCGTATATTTTTTAAATCCATTTATCTTTCCGTGATAGACTCAGACTTTTTTGTTTAAAATTGGTGTTTAATTTATGTATGTCATTGTTCCATTGATTGGATGCTCTGATTTAGTTGTAGTGAAGATTTTTCAATGTGATTACACTTAAAATATGGATTATAATATTTTTTTATTGAAATTGAAGTATTGAAAATTGAGGGGATGAAGCACTGATTACCAAAGATTTAATACTTCAAAGTTTTGAAAAATGTTTTCTGAATTCAATCATTCATTTCTTAAAAGGATCTTATTTTTATTTTGAATCTTTGTGATAAAGTCTTATCCAATGTCCTTTTAATTATCTTTGCAAACAGAAAGTTACAATTTTTTTCTTGAACAAATCTTTTTGCTCCACTTTATCTCAGAATGAGTGTGCCCAACCTTCATTGTAACTATAAAAGTTTTAAAGATTGGGCTCAAAAGTGGCTTTATAATATTACTTTCAATGCTTTGATTTTTAGCACATCAAAAACATTAGTTGAACGAATTGTCTTATACTTTGATCTTTCAAAATGCTCTCTTCTACTTTCCTCTTCTTATTTCAATGTTTTTGCTCAAACTGCTTCTAAGGTCTAAGGAGAAATCCTTCATTTAAACTCTTTTGATTGATACTTGTATGATTTTTTCAAACTACCTTTATGGATGATTTAGTTCTTCACTGCAATGCTATAGATTTTTATTGTGTGAAATAGTGTTGAATGCATCCTTCGGGATTGATTTTTCTACTCTGCAGTTTAAGAATTTGCAACGATTATTAAGAGCATTACATATGGTTTTCACCAGTTTAAGTATGCAATTTCACTTAATTTATTACGCATATAATTTCTTTCGAGAGGAAAAATAAAGATGTCATTCAAGGTGGGAAGAAGTACCTGGAGGGCAGAGAATAGAAACTTTTGGTATAGGTTGCATTCGAAATTATTAAAAAACAAAAATATGCAAAAAACCAAATGAAGGCCGTGTTTGGAAAAAAGTTTTTCGGATAGCTTTTGGCATATTTGACTGACTTTGGCTTTTTTGACTTAGCGACCCGCCAAAACCACCGTTTGACTAATGCCTTTTTCACTTGACATTTTGATCCAAAAAGCCAAAATCTGAAATGCCAAGAGGAGTAGCATTTGGACTTGGCTGTCAAACATTTTTACCAAACATTTTTAACGATCAGCCAATTCATTTTTTACCAAACATTTTTAACGATCAGCCAACTCATCTTGCCGGTCAAACCAGCTAAACCAAACAGCCATTCACAACAACTGGCACGAACTGCCAACAGCCAACCGCTGACAGCCAACATCCAAACAAGGCCGAAGTTTGTAATGAGTTTGAAATTAAAGATGTAGTTCATATTTATACTATAGTCTTGTGCAAGCAGAAGTTTAAAAAGATTTGGTGAATCATGTTAATTATTACACCTATTTAATTCAAGCACATCTCTCAATAAATAATCATGATAATAATGATAAAAGTAAGGATTGCTTTAATGGCACACTCTCCAAAGGCTGCTGCGTGCTCCCAATCTCCAAGGACTGCTGCCGTGCTCACTTTATCCAAGGACTTCAGAATTGACATTTTACATTAAACTAAATCTTTGATGGGCCAGAAATATCAGCCCATTACCTTGCATAATTAAGCCCAGTAAACAGGTCCATTTAATTTGGCGGGAACACTGTTCATAAGGTGCTCTTACCATTGTATATAGAAGGATTATAAATTTGGCTTACAAGAACCGAAAAATAGACTCTATTCTATTTTAAACACTGCGCATCAGAGGTGCAAATTTTGTACAGTCAAAGCTTAAGTTTTTATTTTTTATATTTTACTCATTTTCGAACTACCCCTTGGAGTTGCTTTGACAAGTCATTTTTTGTCATTAAAATCATTAAAATTATTAAAATTAGTCATTTTACACTTCTTTGACATATTTAAATCATTAAAATTATTATAATTATCTTTCTTTCAATAAAATAAGTGTACTCTTTTAACAAAAAAATAAGGTTTTTTGTGCAATAAAAAATTTAAGAAAAAGAAATTGACAAAGTTGTCTTGCGTATGGAATGGAAGGTATGGTGGAATGGACAAATCACGCATGTCAATTTTGGTTTGCAACTTATGTGGCAAGGCGTGGCAGGCATTGCTCCTAGAGGTCCGTGTGAGCAGCGGTCAGTTTCGGTCGGTTTCGATCAGTTTTGGTCCAAAATCGAAAAAACCAAAATAATATATTACTAACAATAATCGACTGAACCGAACCGATATACTAGAAAAATCGACACAACCAAAAAGCAACCAAAACAGATATTTTTGGTTGGTTGTTAAAAACCCTAAAGTATTAGTTGGTCATGACATTTTGTCGAGCAATTGTTGTGCTCTCTTTAGAGGTTTGATCTCGGATCAAATAAGTGCCCCTAGAGTCCCATGAGATCATCCAAATTAGTCGTTCTATTCATGAAATTCACTTGGGAATTTAATCAAACAGTTAGAAAGCATTCAAGGAGCTTCAAATCAATGATATGCAAAATGCTTCTAACCTTTCTAGGAACCCAAAAGGGATGCACAATAATTTGAATCAACTCAGATCAAGAAAACTAACTGTTTTTTGTTAATCAAAACAGACACCGAAACTGAAATTCTGGTTATTTTGATCTGCGGTCTCTGGTCTTTTGTTTCACGGTCGGCTCGGTTAAAATGTACACCCCTAATCAGAGGTAGTGTTAGCATTCTGAAAATGCTTTAATGATAGCATTTTCATAGTTAATTTAAATCATTAAAATTTTATCCAAAATATTACCGGAAATTGAAAATACTATTCTCAAACGAGGCCTTAGCAAATTATACGGTACATCTGATTGTATGAAAAGAATCGTACACCCAGATCAATTTTACAAGTTTGGGAAGGTGAGGGACACTGGAAGAATGGTGGAGTCAATCTACTGCGGCGACTTGACCCTAGGTAATGGCAGCAATGGCAGCTCGCTGTAGCAGCAATGCTCCCGGGCTTTCAAAGCTGATCAATTAGCCTTCCTCCCTCACTCCTTTTGGATGAGTTTGATTTTACAATTCTACTTCCTCTAACTAGATAGGGAAATATTTGTTCAGGACGAATGGGTGAGTTGGAGATGGTGAGGACTGTGTGACGATGGAGGGGGCGGAACCCTAGCTTTCAGTATGTTGCAATCGATCGATCTGGGGGTCGTAGATTTTACAGGTGCGTATCACATGAACTACTTCAAAATTGGGGTAGTATGAACGGTACGTTGCTTCAAAATGAACTCTATATTATTTGAGAATAAATACTACATTATTTCAGAATGAATACTACATTATTTGTAAGTGAATATTATAATTGTAATAAAAAAATGTGTGAAAATAAACACTATGTTATTTGAGAATGAGTACTATGTTGATTCAAAATTAACACCACATTATTTCAAAATGAATACTCTTTTACTCCAATATAAACACTTATGTTCTGTGCAAAAATGAGTATTACCTTGCATGACCATAATTTTTATACATCCTGTTGTACAATATACACAATCAATGAATTTAGAACTAGAAAAATAGGATTGAAGTGGCCTTAGAGACCGGTCTTGTCTTAGACTGGTAGTCTAATTTGGTCCTTGAGCACGTGTGATGGCGCCAGCCTCGCACTTACATCCATTTGTAGGATCCTTCGAACCATGCAATTGATTCCACAAAGTGATAAATTGATTATAGTAAGAGACCACACTTTGACCCTTCTGACGTAGAGAATTCAACTCGGATTTTAACTGATATATGCGAGGCCCATTAGAACAACTGTAGCGCTTTTGCAAATCATCCCATAATTCCGAAGCTATGGTGTGAGACACAATACTTGGTTGGATAGACTCATCAACACTATTGAAAATCCAACTACAAATAATTTGATTATTAGCATACCAAGCGGGCAACTCGTATTCATCGGTAGGTTTTGGTACCCCTACGGAAGACAAAAAAATAGCTTTCCCACGGCCTCCAAGTGCATTACATATAGCTTTCTCCCATATATCGAAATTATCGCTTTTCAACAAATATTTGGTGAGAGAATTACCGGGACCTTCGGAGGGATGAAGATAATAAATAGAAAACGGATCGTGAATTAGCCGTGTTCGTTTGGCGTTGGACGTGTTCGCTCCTGCCATGTCGAAAGGACTGTTTCGGACGGCAAAGAGGCTGCTACTAGAGACGGAAGTGCTGGACTGACGAACAAAGAGTAACCACCGGCGAAGAAGAGACGACGTGCGCCGGATGGAAATACTGACGAAGAGAGCCTATGGTTTTACATGGTTTCCCAGGGAAGACTCTAATACCATGTAGAATTTGTGAACTCAACTTGATGGTGTTTCATTGATGCAATCGGAAATATATACAAGGTGCAAGCCCAATAGGTGTGGCCCAATATAAATACGACGCATACAAATAATGCATATGATATATACAATATACAATATACTCTCGAACATAGTAGTCTTTTCTGAAAGACTAGACCAAGATCAAACTAGGTCTAGAAATGTAATGTATTTGAAAATACATTAGACACACACACACACACACACATATATATATATATATATAATTTTTATAAACATATATTTATCTTATCAATATAGAGCATAATACTTTACATTAATTTTTATGAATTTACAATAAGTGATAACAAAATAAAAAAATTCATGTGTGTGTGTGTGTATGTGTGTAATACCCTGATTTGAAAATAAGTAGATTAAGGAAAGAAAAGGCTCAAGAAGGATTGATAGTACTACTTATACCAACAAGGTGCATCTTTTTTTCGAAAGCTAATCACTTAGAGACTCCAAAGTTAAGCGTGCTTGACATGGAGCAATTTTAGGATGGGTGACCCCTTTGAAAATTCTTGGGCGTGCACGAGTGAGGACAAAGTGTGTGGAAAAGACTTGTGTTGGCTTGTGGGGCTTACGGCCAGGGTGGGGGCCAGCGGGTTACAGTGTGTGTGTGTGTGTGTATTAAACATATACACATTAAAATTTATTTTCTGTTGACTCTATCCAAGTTCTACCTTACATAAAAGTATTCATGTTACATGAAATAAAAGAAATTAAATAATCAAAAATAATTTTTTTTTATTTTTATGAGTATGAATTTGAAGAAGTAAAAACTAAAAATTGCTGTGTAGCACATATTAAGAATTGGACCGGACTTGGATTGGTCCTAATGGGACTATTTGGTCCCACAAAGTCTCTATTTTCTTATGAAGACCAAACTGGTCCTGATTTCTAAAAAAAAGATTAGACCAATTCCCTCCTAAATAGTATTGGTTTTTTCAAGGGATCGATGCGATCTGATTAGTCCGGTCCTTTTGCTCATCTCTAACCAAAATGGTGTACTAAGTTTTGGTGTATATCAAACTATATTGTTGGAGAATATTGGCTTCATTTTTAGGGAATTTAATTTAGATTTTAAAAGATTTTTATACATTGTTTAGAAGTCGTAGATTATGTAAAATCAGTATATTGTTTTAATTTTACGTAAAGTAAGAAAGATTTTGAAAATAATATAACAAAAAAATAATTTATTTTTTTAAAATTATTACGGAGTATTACTGTTATTATAAATTTGGTTAGGTTTCGTTGACACTAACATCTAGTGTCAATGGATGACACTCGTCTATTTAGAGAACTACTATTTTTACCCTAACTCCAGTTCTTACCCTATTCCCACCCCAACTTCTCATTTCGCCCCCTCCAAATGTGCGGCGATTATGCAAAATGGTCGCATATTTGGAGGGCGAAGGGGAGAGGAGGAGAGTTGGGGTGAGGATTTAGGATAAGCGTTAAGAAGTGTGAACCATTAATTTTGTGAACAGAACAACAAAGGTGGTCCAAAAGCCAGTAGCATCAAAGTGTCACCGTACTCTAGTGTGAACAAAAGCTTTCCATTGTAAATTTTTCAACATTAAATAATAGATTGATCAATGTCATAAGCATTAAATTTGTTTTGCAACTCGAGTCGTTATTAATTTCTAAATTATTTTTCATGTATGTCAAAATTTAACACTATAAATCTAAGGACAACAAAAAAGAAGCTAAGACATTACCTAAAATTTAAAGACAATTTGAAATAAAATTATCAAACAATATAGTCTTCAATTTCAACTTCATTATCATCATTATACCAAAAAAAACTTCAGTATCATCAAAACCTTCTTGATTCTCCTCATCAGAGTATTCCTCATTAGCATCGTTTTGTGATCTATCAGCCCACATAGCTTAAGGAATGATATATTTCAAAGCGTTAACTTATGTTCTTAATTTGCTGTTATTGAGCTTGAGAAAATATTTCAAAACTTTGTTCCTTCATGTCTAGATATAAGGGCACTAGAAATATCTATGAAGCGCGGAGTTTCAAACCTTTTCTATGCCACATTAGTTTTAACTCCCCTTTAACTTACCTCATGATTTCACTAGAAATGGATTTGAAGCCCCAAAGCTTCAAATTGGGATTTCTAACCTTTTTTTATTTTTTTAATACACATTTTGTAAAAATGAAATAATAAGATTTCATTAATTAATTAAATTTAAATGACAATAATGCATTCAATGAAAAGAACATTAAATTAAAAAAGTTAAAGAAAATTATATTTAGGAGTAAATTCCATCATTGGTCTTTTATAACACAGGGGTTTCCATATTTAGTCCTGTATTATCAGATATTACTCATGTAGTCTTTCACTCCTTCTTTTATGGGTGCCTTTCCATAAATTTTTCTTTTTTAATCTTCTGCCATGTTGGTGTTAATTTAAAGACTAAAAATATAATTTGACATCAATCTTATGTCCAGTGACGTATTCTGATATTGGTTAGACTAATAATATAAAAATAATGACTATAATTTTGAGCTAGGATTCCGAAAAAAGCTATAGACTATAGTTGTAGTAGAAAGCGACTATAATTCACAAACGATGCATCAGAAGTAGCCTTTGGAATTATATATGACAAGAAAGACATGTTATCATTGTGAAATTATGGTTGAGCACACTTTTTTGGTGCACTTTTATCAATACACTCAGTTCTGGTTGAGTTTCCAGAACCGACTTCGGGTCCTCCAAATTGACTGAGGCTTGAGAATCAAAAAAAGTCAAATTATTCTTGTATGTTTGGTAAAGGTACATCGTGTATTTGTTTGGCTCAAGAACGAACGGAGGAATAGAGGAACCGAATGGAATCATGATAAAAATAAAAAAATATCAGAGAAAGATAAGAATTTTGAGAAAGAATAGAGAGTTGTATGAGAGAATGTGTTGTGTGTGTATTTTTAAAATATGAAAGGGTATCTATAATCCTTTATATATAATATTTGGGAGTTAAACTTCCAGAATGTTGACATTTGGCACGTCTACAAGGCATTTTTTAAACCAAATCAGCATGCCATGTCATGTGGTGCCATGTGGATGTGGTAACACCCAAAAAGTTTTTAATTTGGTTTGACCGGGCTTTAATTTCTTACTCTATTCACGCAATGTCCAGCAATCTTGACGGAAATTTTCCTTCTTCGTTCCCGACGATTCAGCTAATTTCCTTCTTCTTCTTCGACGATGTCCAATGAGCTTCCTTCTTCGTTCGTAATATTTCCAATCCTCGCCCTCAAATTCCCGAAATTTGCTTCTTCTTTTGCAAAGTCGTTTCCTTCTTCGTTCCCAGATTTGTTTCTTTCTTCGATGCCAGTGCATGATTCAGACAAGAACTGTTCTATCAGATTTGTTTCTTTTTCGAATTGAGTTAATTTACTGAAATTTTCATCTCGGATCATCCGAATTGTCCCAATTAAAGCTTTGAACAAGGATTCTCGACCAATTGGCGGCCGTTAGATCGGAGATGGTGTGCACGAGCCAATCATCGTGGAGTTCACTACATCGGCATCCTCAGGTATTTCTTTTTAATCTCCATTTTTTATGCTTGCAATCCAGTTATGAAACAATTTTTTAATATATATTGATCATTATTGAATAGATTTATAAACATATGTCGTTCACATTCCAGACCGGAAACACCATTCCAGATTTCAATCATTGGTTACATATGTTCAAAGATGTGTATGTTAATCATCGTTCTTTAGATCTGTTTTTATGATTTAGCCTTTAGTTTAATATTGTATATATTCGAATGACTAGAGGTATTCATCATTTTAAATTCTTATGTTCTCTATGAGTATTATATTGTGAATCTACTTTTTTTGTCAGACCCTTCTGCTATAATTGAGGTAAAAGAAATTTTATGCATAGATGTTGGATTATTTGAGTGGAAATTGTTCCTGTATCTACATCGTATTGATGGCATCGACATTGCGTGGACATTGTTCAATTGCTCACCATTTCCCTTTTTTTCATTATATTATCTCATCAATTTAATTCTGCCTATCATTGATTTTTTCACCATAATTTTGTTTCCTTTTCCGATGCCAGTGCATGATATCTGCCACAATTGTGTTATCAAATCTGTTTCCTTCTTAAATTGAAGAGATTTGCTGAAATTCTCATCTCCAGTCATCCAAATGGCCCCAATTTAGGCTTCGAACAAGGATTCTCAACCAGTTGGTTGTCATCAGATCAGAGATGGAGTGCGAGAGTCAAGCATCGCGGAGTTCATTATATCGAGCATCCTTAGGTATTTTTTTCTAATCTCCATCTTTGATGCTTCAACAATCCCGTTATGAAACAATTTTTTAATATATTTTGATCATTAGTGAATAGATTTATAAACATATGTCGTTCACATTCCTAATCAGAAACACCATTCCATATTTCTTTCATTTGTTAAATATGTTTGAAGATTTATATGTTAATCATCATTCTTTAGAGTTTATTTTCACACTTTAGTTACGTCTACTATACATATATTTATTCATTTTCCTATTGAGATAATATTGTTTATTACCAAATGATTAGAAGTATCAATTACTTTATAGTTTCAGCATTTTAGTTTTTAATGTTCTCTATGAGTATTACATTGTGAATCTACTTTTTTTGTCAGATTCTTCTCTTATAATTGAGGTAAAAAAATATGCATTGGTGTTGGATTGTTTGTGTGGAAAATGTTTTGATATCTGCAATGTATTGATGACATGAACCTTTCGTAAACATTGCTCATGTGGTCAGTGGTCACCATATCCTTTTGTTTCATTATCTTTTTCCCAACTATTTAGTTCTACCTATCATTAATTTACCACCATTTTTTATTTCTCTATTGATCATTTTTTTTCTTTTAATGTATATGATTACCGACGTTCCATGCTTGATGAAATTTTCATCTTTGAAGTGAAGTAAAATGTTGAAAAAGAAAATCAACTTTACTATTTGAAAATTAAATTTGCTCCACAATTGAACTCACTTTCTTTGCACATTTCTCCTTCTCTTTGTGTGTTCTGCGATTTCGTGACACACAATATAACACAATAGATACGTGTTTAAGAATGAATCTGGTCTTAATCTTAATCAACTGGGAAAAGTTTCTTATATGCATTCCTTGAATTTGAATATAGTCTATGCCTGACTATACAGGTTTAATGGTATTCACTAAATACACAATGGTATTGATGGTATTTTACTGTAAATACTTTTGAAATCATTCATTAATTGATGGTCTTTTTTTGAGATTGTGTGGGAAATTACTATCTCAATGACATAGTTTGAAGAAGTCTGGTAAGAATTATTGAGAAAATAATAAGGTTCGCAGTAGGTGATTTGAAAATATAATTTATTTCTTTTATTAAGTACCATTATCACCTTTCTAACTTTTTCTTACCAGTAATTTTATAATACGTAGGTAAAATTTATCTTTGCCTTTTTCTTTATATTGTCTTTAATGAGCCAATTCTATCATCTTCCTAATAATGTTGATCTTCCGTTGGTTTGGACTTAAAACTAGAATTTATTCAATATGCAGTCTATATCGCATGGTTCTGGTATACATCCAGCCATTAGAGAAATCCTTGCAATTGTGCGCATACATATACTAATTATGTGGACTCATTCACTTATAACCAATCTCCTCTTTATTTCTTTTTTTTAAATCATGGTATATGTGGACACTTATTCCCCTTATTCTTCATATGAAGTTTTTCCTTTATAGCCATTACTGCAGAGCTAGCTCAACAAATCAAACGAGGAGGATTGATTTTCTCATGCGTTCTTCTCTTTCTAAGGCAAGTAATTAGGGAAATATCCTAGCTGGCGATCATGATTTCCTAAATCAGTTATAGTTCAATTGCATAGGAAAATAGCAGGATCCACATGTTACATTTCTTTTAATAAGTGTGCGTTCCATGGTGTGACTTCTCTCATCGAAGTTTATTTGGAATAAATTACACAATCCTAAAGCAACTCTTTTTTCAATGGAAACTCTAGAACAATGTATGGGCATTTCCTTAAAACTTTAGTTTGTTTTAGACTATTTTCTCTACATTGCGCCCATTTTGCAGACAACACAACGCCAATGTTAATTCACCTTTTTGATTATTTGTCCTAATATGGGGAAAGATGGGCTTTCTTTTGTGCCTTCTTGAAGCTCAATACAACCCCTTAGTGTGAAGGCTATGTGTCTTTCATGGTAATTATTAATCACATACTTTTTGTATTTTTTTTGTTTTTGCTGCATCTTATGAAGGTAGTTTGTTCTTTTATTTGCTGGAAAATATGAAAAATGTTTAACCCTACTGTATGGTATCAACAACAATTTGTCTTTTTCTACAATATTATGACTTTTATGGTTTATTTTTTTATCACTTCAATATTTACACATAAAAGTGAAATAATGTATAACAGGTGGAGCTAGCTAATTTGTCTACTTTTAATGTTACTTGAATACAATTTCAGCTACTCCATTTATATTAGCCTTGAGTTTAGCCAAATTCACTCTTCCGAAATGGGCTTTCACCATGATTTCAAGAACATCGAAGATTAGAAGCTATTATATGACAATTACAAGATTGTTCAGGATAATACTTACTAAATGTATAGAGGGAAGGACATGAATGCATGATCCCTTTACCCATTCATTGCAAACTTTTGTAGGCTTGAGAGAGTTGTTAGGTTGTAAATCAAGATTTTTATTCTCAATAGGTCAGGGAGCCATGAACCAAATTTCAAAGGTTCATCAAGTTTTGCCTTCTGAGGTGACAAATCCTCCGTGCATTTATTATTTTCTCTAATGGAGAGTTTTTGAATTTCAGTTTGGGTCTCAGGTAAGGTTCCACAGGCTTTAATAAACTTGGCCGCACAACTTTATTTGACCAAAATAAGATAAGACACAAAACATAGCCTTTGATACATGAAGAGTTAGTGCTTATGTTTTGTCTGGTGAAAATATAGTGACGATTAGTGATACTCTTGCCGAAATCCCAGTGAATTATAGGTGACATGAAACATTAGAAGCACTTTGTCATGTACCCTTTCAATTTCATGTATAAGAATTTCATCACAAAATGTTAATTGTTATTATATATATTCTACTTTAATGCTAATGTGTACAATATTAAAAAATTATGCTAGAAATATATTTTCTTTAATCCTAAAAATATTTTTTGAATCGACAAAAATATTCATTCGACCTCGTGCGTGGCACGGGTCAAAATACTAGTTGAAATTTAAAAAAGAGTAAATTACATAATTGATCTTTTATAACAAGGAGGTTTCCATATTTAGTTATCTATTATAAAATATTACTCTCGTAGCCCTTCTTTTATGGGTGCCATTTCACAAATAGTCCTTTTTAAATCTTCTGTCATATTGGTGTTAATTTAAATGTTAAAAGTATAATTTGACACCAACCTTATATCTAGTGATGTATTCGGATATTGGTATAATATAAAAATAATGACTATGATTGTGAGCTAGGATTCCAACGATAGACCACATCTGTAGACTATGGTTGTAGTAGAAAACGACGCATTAAGAGCGGCCTTTGGAATTGTGTATGAGAAGAAAGATATATTATCATTGTGAAATAACACTTTTAGCCCTCAAATGAACACCAACATGCATGAAGATAAAAAAGGACAAAATGTGGAAAGATAGCGATAAAAGAAGAACCACTGAGATAATATTTGACAATAGAGGACTAAGCCTCCGCTCCGTTCAACTTATTTTTTCTAATCTGGTCTGGTCTGATCAGATCAGATCTAATCTGATTGGATCTGATCTGATTGTATCTGATCTGATCTGATTGGATTTGATCTGATCGGATCTGATCTGGTCTGATCTGATTAATTATGATTTGATTTAAAATTCAAATCAACAATTTGATATGACTTTATAATAATGTCTGAAAATTGTAATGATAATTCATATTATTATATAATCAATATTTTTTATTTTATGATTTTTTTAATAAAATAAAATTACATAAATCATATATTAGAATAATCATTCATATTATAATGTAATAATATTTTTTATTTTATGATTATTTTTTTGTGAAATTAGAATATTAATTTAATATTTTAATAATTACTTCATATATACATTAGAATAAATATTTAATTTATATATACATTAAATACGTGCAATAAGTAAGGATTACTTTCTCAGTTTTCTATTTAACTTGTTTCTAAAGTTTATTCTTTTTCATTTTTAATAATAATAATAATAATAATAATAATAATAATAATAATAATAATTCTTGATGGGATCTGATCTGATTTGGTCTGATCTGATCTGATCTAATCTGATTGGATCTGATCTGATTTGAATAAGATTAAGAAAAAATAAGAAAAAATAAGCTGAAAAGAACGGGGCCTAAATAGGGAAACCCCTGTTATAAATAACCAATTATGTAATTTACTCTAAAAAAATTAATATTTGTCAACGGCCAAATATTTGATCGTTTGTGGAGACTAATCTCAGGTGTGTTCTTTGCTATGATATATGCTGAGGAAGACAAAGATCATCCATTTATCTCCTGCATATATACAAAGAATATTGAGATCAACACCTGCAATTGGTTTTAGACACTGTTTGGAAAGAGTGTTTTCAATTAGCGTTAGCAATTTGGATAAAAACTTTTATGGTGTAGAATAATTTTGAAAACGTTAATGCTAAAGACTACCGTTGGATAGCCTTTTCAAAACGCTAACGCTAATCTCTAACGCTGATGCCAAACGGGACCTTAGTATCATTGGAGGGCCAACAACTATAAGGAGAGGCAAGATGCTATCCTGCAAATCAAGGGGAGGAATAAAAGGCAGATTGGGCATCAGTTAGTTACTTGTTCCACAAGTATATATTCTGACTTTTCCTCTTTTTCTAAATTATTTTCAAACTTTACTTTACAATTTTGCACATTTTTAAAGTCTATGAACATCAAACAATGAGCTTTTTTATGGACAGAGGAAGGATCATATTTTTTTTTCATTACAAAACAAACAGTTAAAAGAGAATAGAGGGAGCAACACATTTTTTTTCACACAGAACAACCCTCCGAGCCCATTCATGACCAGTAGATAACATGAATTCGAGTAGAAGTTCCAGAGAAACTCTTTCAGGTTGGCTGCAGTTGAAGTGTGCTCCTCTCATCACTTCTTGACATGAACCTGAAGCTTGTGGCCTCTTCTACTTTGACCTATCGGTCCATTTTACGACAAAGGATTTCAATTACTACACGATACTTTCAAATATACAAGCATTTGTCTAAGTGCATCAGTAATTTAGAATATATATGCATGACAAAAGTATGCACACACACACACACTAAAATGTGCTCATTAGTCCCAATGAATTTGGGATGAACCTTGGGTAATGATGGGGGATGTGCAAAGTTAGCAATTAGGGAGTATGTTGGGTAATGACTGCGAATTTACTATCCTACCCTGATGCTTAATCAGTAATTTAATGCGTAAATGGCAGTAATTTCTCACTCATTACAGGATCTACTCCGTATTTCCTAACCCATCCGTGCCCCTATCACAGCTACCATATTCCTTGAATCTTTGATGCAAAAATGCCAAATCACAATACATTAACATTTTATACCTACAAGTGGAATGATAACCGAACCACCCAATTCTAGTACTATATTTGTCTAAGCACACTATTTTTGTTCTAAATGTTACAAACTAGACAAACCCTAAATCAACTGGTTCTAGTGACAAAAAACCAAAGAACTGCACTGTAAAAAGTTAAAGTCTTAGCTTGATCAAAACTTACCATTGAGCGGCAGAAGAATTCCGGGAATCCATGTCGTTGTAAAATTGGGTGAACCGCCGGCGATTTTGGGGTTTGGGCTTGACGGGCTTCTTCTTCAAGCCGAAAATTTCTTGAACAAGAGGAACATGAACCAACACCAACTTCCACGCCAAAAGCCAGCCTGCAAGCAAAGAGGAAGATCAAAGATGAAAGGCCGCTTCGATCAGTTTTTCCGAATTCCAAATTTTTTAAATAAAAAAAAAAGGGGGAAAGATTGATGGATAGGGTTTGAGATCTGGTTATGGAGACTGGGAATTACTACCAAATAGAAGCAAAGAGAGGACGAAGATGATTGCAGAAATAGGCCGAAGGAAGAATAAAGAGAGGTATGCCCAAGACGAGGTTAAGGTCAGATAAAACTCCTCCATTGACGAGGGAGTGGCGAGAATAAAGGTCATGCCTGGGGACGACATTCTCCTAAGTTAAATGACGGTAAATAGGGTAAAAAGCAAAATACACCCTCAAAAAGTAGGAAAAAAGCTAAAATGCACCCCCACTTTTTTAAGCCTAAACATCAAACGCCGTTAAAATATTTAATCACATATTAGTGTCATTTAAATCACATTAACCCTGGCCGATCCTTTCATCTTCCCGCGTCTTCCTTTTCCTTCGTTTGTGAAGTCACTCTACGTTCTTCTTTTAGTTCCTTAGTTGTGCAATTGTTTTGCTCAAATGACATGGATTTACAGAAGCGATTATCTTCCAGAGTACATACCAACCATGGAATTTGGACAAACCCCAACTTATGGTAAATTTTTTATTGAGATCAATAAGAGACACATTCAAAAAATATTTTTTATTTTCTTTTAAACAATTATTTAAAATATTGAGAGCAATATTTTTTATTGAGAGCAATGTTTTTTATTTAAAATATTTCACTTTCTCGGAGTACTAGTTTTTATATTATCTTTTAAACGTCTAATTTTCTGTGTTTGTCCGGCCTTGAAAAAAGGTTATACTTTCCTTTTAATCAAATTTGCATTGAATAAGACTAAAACATACAGTAAGTTATTTAATTCTCAATGTATGACTTAAATTTTTTTATTCCTTAGATAGGACTTGATAAAGACTATTGAGAAGAATAATGTCCCAGTGATGCTAGACATTTAGTTGAATAATAACTAATAGATAATGATCAATGGTCCTACATTGGAAAAATAAAAACATATGGTCATATATTGAGAAAATCATTATGTTTTATTCCTATTTAGGTAAATTACCCTTTTTTATAATCTCTGCATTAAATCAAAAGTTATTTTTTTAATAAAACGGGAGAAGTATCCATCTTACAAGTATTTAATTTACTTTGACTTACCATTTGCACGGCTTCATATTTTCATCCGCGTTGATTCCCGTTTTTTTGAATGTGTTTCTTGGATTGAGTTTATGTTTAATTTTACACGGTAGAAATGATTTTAAAAACTGAGTGGGTATATTTTAATTTGGATACTAACGGAAGTGAATGACTTTAGACTTTTAGATATGAAGTGGGAAGCAATAATACATTTTGAGGGTGGGTTATGATATTTAAAAAAAGTGAGGGTGCATTTTAGCTTTTTCTACTTTTTGAGGGTGTAATTTGCTTTTTACCCGTTAAATGACTCCTCCCCGTATCTTTGAATGGACAAATTTTATTTGGATATTGTTATCAAACATGCTAGGGAATGGCTTGTAATTTGTTATCAAGAACATCAACAAAGCAGCAATGGCTATTACACACCATCATCTAATGCACTTCTTTAATCCATTTTATCTTGTAATTTGTATATTATAAAATTATAGAAATTATATATTAATAATCTATATGTTAAGACAAATCAAACAAGATCACACATGACTATATTTAAGCTTACAAATTGAGAGAATTTGATGAGTCAAAGTGCTTAGATGAACAGTTTCAAAAGTCAAAAGTGGACGAATATAGCGGGACGGAGGTAGTAGAAAAGATCCAAAAATAAAATACTCTGTAAAATAAATACAAGGAGTAAATGACTAAGGCAGCAGAAAATATATTACTCTATTGCAGTGGTCCAAGCTAACGCCAAAGATAGCAGAAATCAAGAACATCAACAAAGCAGCAATGGCTATCTATCTAAGGCAGCAAAAGTCCCGCAGGAGAGAAAAATGAAACAAGTCCAAGCATTATGTAGTGAAGCAGTCTGAGCTGGATATAAGAAGGCAGTGAAGAAGGCTGAGAAATGCAAGTCCAAAGATGGAGAAAGTGGAACCAAAGGCTAGAATATGTCGCCTACGTCAAGGAGCGCCAGCGTATACGGTGAAAAATGCCTGAAGATGTAGACCTGATCTCGTACACAACATGCTGTAGAAGAAGGCGCAGACCACTAAAGGAAAAGATCTCCTAAAACACACACACAGCTAGCTCACCAAAGATGGACCATGAAAAGATAGAGTTGTAGTAGGGGCAGGAGACCTCTGAGAAAAGAAAGGGAGAAACAACCATCACGCACCATGGCTAACCATAGCGCGTCACTTGGCATTCGACCTGAGAAAGACGAGGTTACCACTATGGGTCAGCCAACCCTTAGCCCTTACCGCTGGAAGATAGCGGGTACTCTAATTGTTGGGCGGTGCTCCTTGGACCACACGGCAAGAAGGAGAGCAAATCCCATTCTAAGTGGGATTGCTCTTGATTTGTTTCCTTGTTCATATTTAGTGATTTGTTTCCTTGTAGGAATAGAATTCCTTTTGTGTTTTGGTCTTTATCCTCTCCTATAAATAAAGGAGAAACTCCTTGTACTTAGCAGAACAATTCAATATACAGAATATTTTCCCTCTTATTATTTTCTTCA